CAGTCTGAGCTGATCTTCACACACACACACACACACACACACACACACACACAGTCTGAGCTGATCTTCACACACACACACACACACACACACACACAGTCTGAGCTGATCTTCACACACACACACACACACACAAGCTCGACATTCATAGGAACCGAGTGTTAACAAGGACAAACTTGCTTTGTATGTTGGCCCATTTGACCAGCTTAGTATTCTGGAATTTGAGAATTTTGTTTGGCTAACTTGGTGTTCTAGAAGCAGAGATTCCAGGGAGAGCTGAGGTTTATGAAACCTTATGCCAGCATGCTGCTTTCTTACTGAGGTCATATGCCGTGGGACACCTACCCGCTGCTGCTCCACCCAACTTAATGATCCGCGTTTGTAGTTTTACAGTTCCTTTGTTCCTTGCTTCTGCTCACTTCCATCCATATTTTCCTAGACCTTTTTTTCAGCTGTTTCTTTGTTCTTTCCATTCCCTCATCTTTGTCTCAGAACCCGTCAGTTCCACCCCACCTCCCAAGGTGACTGTGGACCTCCCAACTGCTCAGGACTTTGGAGGTGGGGAGTTCTGGGGGATCTACCTTTCTGACAAGCTCTCCCAGTAATTCCGATACCAGTAACATGGGAGATTTTCATTTTTGAGACTGTCTTGCAAGCACGTCTCCCTATCCTTCCATGGCTTTTGCAAGTTTCTCTCACATTGCTCTGCTTTGCACTGTCTAGATAAAGAGACCTAGACCTAGAACTCAACTGCAAGGATTTCTTGCAGCAAAACCTCCCTTAGTTAGAGCTACAGGATTCCAGTTTTCAACCTCATTCCTAGCTCTGAACAGACCATCCTTTGCTCAGGTTAAAGGGGAATTATCAAAACAAGCTTGAAACTGACTCTCCAAATGTGATTTAACAGTCTCAAATGTACATACAAAGGGAAATTCAACATGAGCAATAATTGCCTATTTGGAGCCCTAGTTGGGGAAAAAAAAAAGAAAGAAAAACGCCCATATAATGGGCTGCGAAATGAGCCTCTCTCATCTGCCCTGCCCCTGCCCCATTCTTTCTCCTTTCCTATCTCCCAAGAGTATATAGATCCTAGGAATATCACTGTCTTCAACTCAGTGACCTGTTTCCCTAATGCAGGGCCAGGCTAAGGTCTGAGACATCTACAAGACATCCTATGCACCGCAGTTCCAACCCCCTGCAGGTTTCCAGCAATTGACCTAACCTCAGTGACTTGAAGTATGGGGTTTAAATGAGCCCACGAACACTAAGACTTCTTGAAACCAAAGTCCCTCTGCCCCAGGGGTTTTTCTACATCAGGGTCTCAAGATCAGTCTGACTTCCATCTCAGTGGCTTTTCTCTTAAAGGACACCTTAGGGCACTGTTGGTTTGTGCCCTACACCCCTGAAAATCTACCACCTCAGAAATGGGGCAAGGCAGCTACTTCAACTACATCATTAGAATCCATTAAGCCACAGTTTGCAGTGCCAGAGGAATTCTGGGAAAATGAGTGAGGTAGATAAGTGAGATGGGCCTGGTGGTGAAGGGAGCCAGGGACCAGAGTGTTCCTGACCCACAGAGCTGGCCCAAGGTTAAATGCCTTAAATTTGCCAGTCCTGGGCTCATTTCTACTTTCAGAGGAGAAAGTCTGCCCTCCACTTACTCAGCCAGGCTAGAAGTGCCTTTTGACTTACAATGTTAACTACCCTCCAGAGTCTCCAGGTCAAGGAGGCTGTGCCATACTCTCTCCCCAATCTTCTGGCAGCTCAGAGGACTGGGAATTTTAGTTTTCCAGCTCTTCAACCGCTCTTCTGACTTGGATATAGGATTTCACTGGAACTCTTAGGCTTCCTAGTCTGGAAATACTTTTTTGGGTCTGTCTTCTCACAACTGGATGGCCTATTTCGTGGACTTATTACAGGATTAGAAACAAGACCAGAAGAGGAGGTTGGGGGCATGGCACCTGAAATCTTAGCCTCCATTCCTTTTTGTGAGAAGGAAAGTGTGTACCTAATACAACCTTTTCTGTCTGTTGTAACCCTTACACTCTCAGGTAAGAGACTGATAGAAACTCCTTACTGGTGAACTTTTTTTCTTGAGGCATTTTGCTTACCAAGCACATATAAAATATTTTCCACCCAGGAAAGCATCCTCATTCTTAGCGCATTTAAGCAGTAGGACTATAGAAAGCACTAGGCCTGGTACTTAAATGAGAGGTTGTTCTTCTGGGGAGGACTGTTGGTGGTTTTGCTGCCACTACTCCGGATGTGGCTGAAATGCTTCTCTGGTGGTGGCCCTTGGCCAGCTGACAGCCTTAGAGCTCAGGCTCACTGCTCATGACCGCCCCTTCTTTGGGGTCCATGATGGTACTGCTACTGTCCAGTTTATTCACCAGACTTGCCTCCAGACATCTTCCAGCTCTTTTCAAAACTCAGTGCTTTGCCATCAAGGAGCATGTTACAAAGCATTCCCCACAGGCTCTGGACATGTCACAGAGGACTGCCCCATGCTGTTGGGTACCATGGAGCCTTCAGGCAGGCTGCTTCAGAACCAACACTCATTTGACTAGATCTATTCTTGGTGGTCAAAAAAAAAAAAAAAAAAAAAAAAAGAAAAGAAAAGAAAAAAATTCTGGTAGTCTCGTAGACCTATCTCATGCCCATGAATGTTCTTCACTTACTGAGAGAAGGCCTTGGATTTTTAGACTTTCAGTTGCCTGGTCCTCTATGGGTGATACTATAAATAGAAGGAATCTGGGGTTTTTAGTGGCTTTGGGCTATGTAAACACTGAAGCTTGAACTCTAGCAGTTCACAAGCCTAGAAATCTTTGAAGAATGTAATGCAAGGAGAAAGAAGAATGTAAAGCTTTTTCTACTGAGGGTAGGAGTCTGTGGTGCATGGCCAGCCAATAGGGCCAATGTGGGCAGTAACAAATGCTTCGCCCTGTGGATAAGGCTCTGAAAGGGGCACTTCACCCCCACCGTCCACTCTGAGGGGTGCTGCCAACAAGAGATTAGCCCATAGGGCTGGAAGAAAACCCTCTGGGGTGGTGAGTCTCCAGCCTGCTGTGCATTTGCCAGGATGCATGGGTAGGAGGATAGTGGATCCCCAGCTGGCTCACGAGCATGAGACCTTTGCATATAGAAAGAGGGATGAGGACAGATTTTTTTCCTACCTTCAAGCCTTTGGGGAGAATCAGCATGGAATGTTAACAATTATTTGGAAAATTTTCAGCTCCCTCGTTGAATTTCCTATTTTATCCCTGAGGACTCAGATGGTCAAGAAGCCAAAGGCACCCACCCCAGATATCTCCAGTAGTTACAACCTTGAGTACATGGCTCCTTTGCCTTCCCAGAGCCTCCAGGATGAGAGGTTGGTTGCACTGGTTAAGTTGTGTTAAATGTATAACAAGCCATATATTCTTACTGTTTTTTCATTTCCAATGTTTCTGCTGTGTGAATGAATGAACTGTGCAAATTATTTGAAAATATTGGAAGGAGGTACTTTTCGAAAACAGTATTCTTTTTAAGCAATAAACTATTTTTACAGCACTGTTTTTGCCAAGGGTTTTGAAATCACTTGTGTACATAAGAAAAGTGAAGATTAAATGCCTGCCCTAAAGTCATTCAGCACCACAGAATCAGCACTTGAAATCTCATCTCTTGCTTTGCCTTGACTATTTTAAGAACCGTCCTGGTTGGAGCATAACAACTAGACTCACATAGCATTGGAGCTGGAAGGGACTATTAAAGATGTCTGCTCCCACTCATCTGATAAGTGACTCTACCCTGCCAAGTACCATGAAGAGTCCTTCCGTATTAGGGAGTTTTATCCTGGGGTAATTCTACTTTAGGGACTGCTGAGATTATCCTGCTAAGCCAAATTTGCCTCTTAACTCTAGAGTGCCCCTCTTACCCTCACTTTATGTTAGAATAGCTGGTTTCGGACCTAAGTAGCTTCTCAGGTCTTCCTCATGGTAACATTGGGATAGGAACCCAAACCTAGTTCAGCAGGATATACTAAGTGCTGACTAAGACTTACAAAGCTTCCAATGAGAGAGGAAGTGCTGAGGGTTCACAGCACCATTGGGCAGGTGAGGAAAAGGTGCCTGCTCCAAATGGGAATACCAAATGGGCAGAAAGATGGTGCTTCTCTGTGAATTAGAAAGCGACACCTCTGTGTCCTGGGACACAGAGCATGGCTGGCAAAAAGTGGACTGGATTTTCTACCCCACTGATCCTTCAGCCAGGTATTGTACAGTGATCATTCTGCACAACCATCTTTTTTTTTTTTTTTTTTTAAGATTTTATTTGACAGAGGGGCACCTGGGTGGCTCAGTGGGTTAAAGCCTCTGCCTTCGGCTCAGGTCATGGTCCCAGTGTCCTGGGATTGAGCCCCACATCGGGCTCTCTGCTCTGCAGGGAGCCTGCTTCCATCTCTCTCTCTATCTGTCTGCCTCTCTGCCTACTTGTGATCTCTGTCTGTCAAATAAATAAATAAATAATCTAAAAAAAAAAAAAAGATTTTATTTGACAGAAATTGAGGGCACAAGTTGGGGGGGGAGTCAAGGAGAGGGAGAAGCAGGCGCCCCACTGAGCAAGGAGCCCTACACAGGGCTCAATCCCAGGACCCTGGGATCATGACCTGGGCTGAAGGCAGACACTTATTTAACCAACTGAGCCCCCCTGGAGCCCCTGCTCAGCCATACTTCTTGGCCCTGCTTTATCTATTTGTCCTGAAGTGATTGAGGAAAGTGCTCTCCAACAGATTTTTGGTTTCCATTTTTACTTTCCATTGGGTCCAAAAAAGTTTGCTCCTTCAAGCCCTTGTGCAGTTTAACTGCTCCGTTTTTTCCTCACAGTACATGGCCCCCTGTTTCTGCACATTACCTCTGACTCTCCAATGCTGCCAGACCTAAGCCTCCCCTGCTCCTGGCTGCCTGGGTCCATGTTCCCTTCAGATAACCATCTGTCAGCCCAGGTGTTGTCTGACAGGGGTGCCAGCACCTGCTGGGCTTCTTATAGTGCCAGACACACTTTTAGTATGTGAAAACTATTCCCACCCTTTTCATCAATGCCCAAGGAGGCACCCGTGGCATGTACATTTTGGTGAAGTCTGTGGTAATTTATTCCCACACTATTTTGTTTCCTCTTCCCAAATTGCTCAGGGTCTCCAATCTGCCTCTCCTCTCTTGCTTACCAATACCTGGCCATGTGTGACCATGGGTATCCCATTGGTCTCTGTGGCCTTGAAGTAAGTGTTCATCAGCCAAGAAACATGTTTTGGACACTGACTTCTGGACAGTATTCTGTGTCCTTGGACACTTGAAAATAAGTATCTGACGAAAGTAGCCCTCCTCCAGAGTTTGCCGAGCGTAGGGAAACATAAGCCAAATCCAGGGCGCTTGAATTTTAACAGCCAAGGCTTTGTCCTCCCTTCTTCGCGGACCCGCCTCGCCTAGGACTGTCAGAAACGGGGAGCCGCGTTGAGCGAGGTTCCCCCAAGTCTCACTGTGGGCCAGTCCGGGCTGCAAAAATGTGCCCAGCGGCGAAGGGAGGCTTCCTCCAGGCTTGTGCGCGATGCCAATCACAGCCGCGCAGCCCCAGAGCTTCCCGCTCCCCCGAAGCTCCCACTTCAGAAACAAGGTAGGGAAACTCTGAGCACCTCGGAATCGGAGCCTCCGCCCCAGTCCCACCCCACAGCGCTCAGGACCCTAGAGGTCCGGGCGCCGCCCACGCTTCCACCGCCCTCTGGCGCGGGGGCTCGGGAGTTGTAGTCTCCTGCCGAGCGCGGGCGCGGGGGCCGGGGCAGCGCGGACTCCACGTCCCGGCGGGCGGCGCGGCGCGGCTGGGGCGCTAGGGGCGGGGCCGCTCGGCCCTTTAAACCTTCCAGGGCCGCTCCGAGGGCCGCAGCCAGAGACGGCGCCACGAGGGGCCGAACGGGGCGCAGCGGCGGCGGCGGGGACGGCGGGGCGCTCCGGAGAGGTGCGTACTGGGCCCCTTCGTGTACCCGGCCCTTGGGGGTCCCCTGGGGAGGCTCCTGTCCCCAGCTCTCGGGGGGCTCCCGTGCGCCCCGCCGGGTTGTGGTTCCTGCGCTAACCCGCCTCTCCCCCGCGGCCGCCGGTGGTCAGGTGGTTGCCTGCGCGCGGCCGCCGCTCCACCGGGGCCCGCACCCGCCCGCAGGCTCTCCCTGGAGCGGCCCGCCGGGACTGCCTTGACTGCAGTCCCTCCCCCGGCCCGGCCCCTCCGGCTTGGGAACGGGACACCCTCCCCAGACGTTACGGCCCGGCCTGAGAGTCTGGGCGCACCGATGGCATGCGGGTGGAACGTGGACACCCACAGCGGAGGCCACAAGGTGTCCACGTTCTGGCGCGGGCTCAGACCCAAATGTGGGCGCTGTGAATCCGGTGCTGGCCACCTTCCCACACCGGCCGTAGCCAGACACTGGACCCTGGACTTTGACCTATCTCTCTCCACCAGGCCTGGGCCGCTGATGGTTTTGGTGAAGTATCTTAAGGCAGCTGGGCCGGCCCCCTCTTTCCCACCTACCTCTTGTCCTTACCCCCACACCACCACCACCCTGGCTCCCCTCCCTCATGACCGCCTGGATCCTCCTTCCTGTCAGCTTGTCAGCATTCTCCATCACGGGCCTATGGACTGTGTGAGTAAAGAGGGGGAGGGGAAGGGAGAGAACAACTAAGGGACAAAATGGGCCGAGGCCGAGGGGGGCTGGGGTCCAGCCAGGACCCAGCAGGAGCTCAACGGCACACACAGAGTCCCTTGTCCTGCTGTGGGCTCCAGGGTGGTCTCCAGGATCACTCTAGCTGTCTCCAGAGCCTGGCCTGGTGCCTGGGCACACAGCCCCTCTGGACAAGCTGGCACCACTGCTGTCCAGTAGTGTGACTCTGACAGACCTTCTAGCCAGGGCCACTTCCAGAGGTCCTCGAGTTTGGGCCATGCTGTGGGTTCTCGTGTGGTATCAAGCTTCAGGGCCGCCTCAACTTGAGTCCCCAGCCAGGACAAAGGCTGAATGGGGCCAGAATGGGGAGAAGAGAGTCTGTGGCGGATAGCTGGGCCGGGAGGGCCATGGGTGTGAGGTGACAGCTCTGCTCCTGCAGGTATGCCATGGCCGTGATGAACCGCCACGCGTGCCCTGTGGAGAACTGGTATGGCGTACTCTGCAGACAGCCTCCCTCTAAAGCTCCCTTCATCTCTGTTCCTTCTCGGGTCAGGGCAGCTACAAGCCAGACGGAGACCCTGGGCCTCACTGCTCTTAACTGACACTGGCAACGCCTGCCCCTCCCCAGGCATGGCTCCACGCTTGTCTCCCTGTTTCCCACTGTCCCTTCACCCCTTTGGCTTCTGCCTCAGGCCGGTTCTGGGGGGTGGGCTCTTCTGTCCCTGCCAGCAGAAGTCTGGGAGGGCGGTCCCCAAGAGGGCCCGAGGCTGCGGGCTGAGAACCTGGAAGAGCCCCTTTTCCCCAGGCTACTCTCTTTCCTGCCTGCCAGGTCCTACAACGAATCCTGCTCTCCTGACCCCGCCGAACACGGGGGCCCTAAGACCTGCTGCACCTTGGATGACATCCCGCTCATCAGGTAGAGCCGGAAACCGGCAGGTCAGGGGGACCCAGGCCCTCGGGCAAGACCTGTACCACAGTCTCAGCAATAAGGAGAGGATTGAGATTACTTGTAACAGCCCTCCGTGCGGTCACTGTGTGTCAGGCACGGTGCGGAACGCACTTCGTGCGCAGTGCCATTCAGTCCTGCCCGCATCGGGGCAGCTACCGTTCCTCCATCTTGTAGGCAAGAGAACAGACTGAGGCATGTCCCCGTCCCGGTCACACAGCTGGGAAGTGGAGGCACCTGGACTGAAGCTCAAGCGCTCCAATTGCGCAGCCGCAGTTCTGGCTCAAGGGAAGCCAGACTGGCTGCAGGCCTTGACAATCTCAGGGAGTCCAAGGAGTCTCAGGCATTCTCTCACCTATTGCACAAATGAGCTCTGCTTTGGGGGAGGGCCTAGCCTGGGGGTAGCTGTGCGTGATACATAACCGGCCCATCTCATAAATCAGTGGCTTGCCTGCTAAGGAACAGGCACAGATAAAGCAAGAGACAGATGGGCCAGAATGGGGGTGCTAGTGCTCCTGCCCCTCTCTCACTCTGTCCTTGCCCCCCACCCCCAGCAAGTGTGGCACATATCCCCCAGAGAGCTGCCTCTTCAGCCTCATTGGCAACATGGGTGCTTTCATGGGTGAGTTGTGCCCTCAGCCCCCGAGCCAGCCCAATCCAACCCACTTCCCCAACCCCACCCCAGAAAGGCCCATGAAACTCTTGTTCAGTGTAGCCCACCCCACCAAGGGTGAAAGCAAGAGAGACCATTTGTCTCCCTTTCCTTTAACAAGGGCCAAAGTCTCCCACACAGCCACCCTGCTGGCCAAAGCCTGAGGAAACCCAGTTCACTACCTGCCCTTTATTCCCTTTCAGCCCTCAAGAGTGTCTGGGGGGTGGAGGGGGGGTAAGTTGGTGGGAGGAGGGCACCAGTGCTGGCTCCACCTGTGCTTTCTTCCCCCAGTGGTCCTGATCTGTCTGCTGCTGTATGGGCAGCTCCTGGAGCAGAGTCGTCATTCCTGGGTCAACACCACGACACTCATCACAGGCTGCACCAATGCTGCGGGCCTCGTGGTGGTTGGCAACTTCCAGGTGTGCCCACCTGCCTGCCTCTTAAACTTTCACTAGCAGGGCCTGGCTGTCTGCAGCTGCCCTCAGTCCCCTGAAGACTGACACCAGTGGCAAAGCTAGCCCTTCGAAGCTGAGGGTGGGGAGATAGGGGCTGGAGGGCGGAAGGGGGTAAGAAGGGTGCTGGAGGTGGGGCTGCTTCACAGACCAGCCCCTCTCTCTGGGCCCAGGTGGATCACGCGAAGTCTCTGCACTACATCGGAACTGGTGTGGCCTTCCCCGCTGGGCTGCTCTTCGTCTGCCTGCACTGTGCCCTCTCCTACCATGGGGCCACTGCCCCCCAGGACCTGGCTATGGCCTACCTGCGGATTGTGCTGGCAGCCATCGCCTTTGTCACCCTAATCCTCAGTATCCTTCCAGGACAGCCGGGAACTCCTCCTCTAACCCAGCCTTCCCCCCCACCCCACACACAAGCCCCAGGGGGTGGGGGTGGAGGGAGGGGTGAGGGGTGGGGGAAGAGGTCGGCATACATATAGCCAGAAAATACTGCCCAGTGCGGTTTCCTTCTTCCCCTCCCAGGTCGTGAGAGGTGGCTCTTTGCCCCAGCTTAGCTCGCTGGGAAGATAGGAGTGTCATGAGCTTCCACGTGTCCTACTGCACACTTCCTTAGCCCCATTGCAGGCGGTGTCTTCTTTATGCACGAGAGCTCTCAGCTGCAACATGGGGCAGCCCTGTGCGAGTGGGTATTTGTGATTGACATCCTGATTTTCTACGGCACCTTCAGCTATGAGTTCGGGGCAGTGTCCTCAGAGACGCTGGTGGCGGCCCTGCAGCCTGCCCCTGGCCGGGCCTACAAGTCCTCTGGGAGCAGCAGCACCTCCACTCGCCTCAACTGTGCTCCTGAAAGCATCGCCATGATCTGAGGTCTGGGGAGGGTGGCTGGCCCAGCCTCTGCAGCTCTCCACCTCATTAACTTTGCATTTATTTTGTACCAAAAACGATTTTGAGAAAGTATTCTGCTGGGATAGAGGGTTCCTTGCTGCTGAAGGAACCACCATCCCACACCCACCTGTGCCACAGCAGAGCGGGCCAGGCAGCTGTGTGGGCTGCACACAAGCTACTCCCTGACTCTGCAGTGTTGTTTTTATGAAAGGTCACATAGCCTCACTCACCCAGCCAGCCCTTCAGGTGCCTTCTACTCCCCAGTGCTGAGGCCACACCACTGGGGTTTCCTGCTGCAGGAATTGGGGGCTGGGAACAGCAAGAGGGACAGAAGTCAGGGAGTGGAGGGGGGAGCACTACTTAGTCTGTGGGAAGGCCCTCTTTCGGGCCCACTGAGCTGCACTGGGATTCTTCACTCTGCCCTTTACTTTCCTTTGGGCAAATAATACAGCAGAACCACATGGGTATTTTAGTACTTTTTTTTAATCTATTAAAAGAATTCTAATTTGCATGTTTGTAGTCTGTTCAATAGAATCAAGCGAGGGCCTAAGCCAGGACAGCTTTCCCTAGGCAAAGGATAGGAGGAAACGCCTGCCCTCAGGGAGTCCTGGGTGCCCACTGCTCTTTTGAGAGCTGGGCTGCCAAGAAAAAAGGATGCCTTGTGCCATCCAAATACCCCTCAAGGGCTTGAAACCCTTTCCAGACCTTTAAACAGTTTGAAGAACTGACATGATCCTTCCCCCACTCAAAGTGTGGTTTGAAGTTTGCTTCCTTAGTAAGGGATATGGGGGGTGGGGGAGGGTGCAGGTCACCCATAGAACAACTTTAAAACAGTAGAAGCAATTTTCACAATGAAGCTAAAGAAAGCCTGTGGGATTCCAAGGTTGACTAAAAATTGGAGGGAAGAGAGATGTAGTCTAATTTTTCTTTACCATCTGCAAGTAGCCAGTGGATGCCAGACCCTGACATGATTTCTTTCCAACAATGAGCTCATAGGCCCAAGCACTGGCTGGTCCAGTGGCCAGGGTCTTAATCCAGGCTCCACTGCTCTCAGGCCAGTGGGCTGGCAGGAAGGGACACATAGCCTAGTGCTTTCTGTGGTTCAGGCCCATCTTCTCCAACAGCATTTAGGGGTACAGAGCCCCTACCCAGGCCTCTGAGCAATGCAGTGCAGGGTGGGTAAAGAAATCTTTAATGAGGATTCAAGGTACAAGAGGAAGATGTGAAGGATGGGTGGTCAGCCCCAGGCAGCTCATGTGTACATGGCTCCGTGAAGGTTCTCAAGTCGGTGCTTTTGCTGCTGCTTGCGAGCCTGAAGGAAAGAGGGCACACTGGGCATGGGCCATACCTGAAGGCCTGTGGGCGGCGCGATGGGACAACTATCATGGGGCTGCCTATCACTATTTTCAGGCCCCTAGCAGGTACATTGCCAAGGCTCTTGTCCCTTGCCAAAGTCACCAGGAAGGCGACCAGAGCCAGCGGCCCTGAGGCTTACCCAGGCCTGCTAAGGTAGGGAATGAAAACACTAAGGACAGGGCCTGAGGCATCCCCATTACCACCCAACCTCTCCACTTACCACCAGCCCCTACCTTATCTCGTCTGTGTTCCTCATAAGTATCATCATCAGTGGGCAGCTCATGGCGGCACAGGGGGCAGGAATTTGTCTGAGAAAAGGAGGGCAGTGTTTCAGCCCAGGTATGGTCTTCATAAGCTAACACCTGTCCCCTGCTCCCAGTTCCCACCCCTACCCCTGACCCTTCCCTGATCCCCTAAAAGTCCATAAACAGGAAGAGGCTTGAGAACTGGGCTCAGGGCAGGGTGAGGGGTGAGAGAAAGGAAGCAGTACCTTGCTTAGCCATGGTAGAATGCAGTTGGAATGGAAGATGTGATGGCAAGGCATCTCAATGGCAGTCTCCTCCTCCTCAAATTCCAAAAGACACACGGGGCACTTGAGCTCTTTAGGAGGGAGTGCTGATCAGGAGAGCTGCTACAGGCCTTACCTCCCGGCTCCCACTCCTGAAGGACATTCTTGCCCCAACCTGACCTGGAAAACTGAAGGGCTAGACCAGTCTAGCTTGGGAGAGGGTGGGTCTGGAAAGCCTGCCCCAAACAGCAGCAAGAATTAATGTTCTTACCAGCCTGGGAGCCCCTGATGACTGTCCTGGGAAGGTTCTCAACCACAGTCTTGGCAGCGGGTGGAGGCAGGTGGTGATCCCAATCTACTACCAACCCCAAGTCTTCAAAGTCCATCCTATTGAAAAGTGACCTGGGAAGAACAATGCATGTTCAGAACCAAAGAAAAACATACTTTCTCTTTGCCCCCACAATCCACTAAGCATTAACAGATAAATATACCCTGAACAGCTACTAATAACAGCTACCCCCGCAAATTGCTCGGTAGATAAAAAGCACAGTGAGAAATGGCTTCCAGTTGCTATAAGACAACCCCAAGCATGCAAGCTGTTTAGTCCCATTTTTACACATGAGGCAACAGGCTCAGAGAAGTTACTCGGGCCATGCAGAAATCACCTGGTAAAGCCAGATTCCAAGTGGCAGTGTTGACTTCCCTGCCTGCTCCTAACGAACGCACCTACTCACACCCACAAGGCCCCTCCACTGGCCCCATGACCCGTCTTCTGCCGTACATACTAGAACCGGCTGCCCTCCCGCTCCCGACTCCCCCCTGTTCACCAGCTCTAGTCTTTCCTACAATCCCCTTGCCCGGCCCAACCACGGATGACCCAAATGATCGACCTTCGTCGAATCTCATCCCCGGACTAACTCTCCAGATTATTCATCCGTCCTCTCCAGACTCTCTGCCCCATGTAATCTGCCTTCTCCAGCCAGCCCCAGCCCAGAAACCTGCCACCTGGGCCCCCACCTCCTAGCACCGCGCACCCACCTTGCGAGCTCCAGCAGCATATTGGTTCGGGCCTCCTGCTCTGAATCCAAAGGCTCGCAGTCGTGTTCATCAAAATAGGACGCCATGGCAGCCGGGGTGTCTGACACAGCCCTCACACCCTGATGGACTGCGGCCCCGCGGCGCTGGCCAATAAGCTGCAGGCCTGAGAGAGGAAGACCAATCAGAACATCCGAAAGACGGGCACAGAGACTCGTTAGGGGCCGAAAGCGGAAGTATTATTTCTGCTGCTTCTCGTTGGCTCAAATGAATCAGGTGACCAAACGCTAAAGCCAATGGCAGGAGATGAGGCTGGTCAGAAAACATCTGTTTTGGACTCCGAACCTAGGGTAAGCGAGGTGGGAGTGACGTGCGATTCTCGTCCACAGCGTCCTGGAAAGCCAAGTGTCGGGGCTTTAGGAGTCGTCAGTCCGTTCTGCGGCTCAGAGGGCCTAGGACGTGCAGGTGCTAGAGGCCCTCCGGAGAGCAAGGCGCTGGCTCAGGGGCTCAGGGTACTAAGAACCCGGAATCACAGCCGTTCTCGCTGCTCTGCCTGATGCCCGCCGAGTACTTCTGCACCTGCTGCATTCTGGGTGGTTCAGGAGTCCGCTCTTGATTCCCCTCTGACCCACAAAACAAAAATGTCCTTATCTCTTCTGTGTTAGGAACAATAAAGAGTGGGGCAAAACTCCCCCACCGAGAGAGGGAAGATCCCTGCTGGGGAATCTGGGGCCTTACCCGCACAGGGAACTCTGTGTGTGACCTTCAGCCCATTGCACAGCCTCTTCCCCTAGCTTCTGTGAAATTAGTGGCTTGAATTCAATAAGTAAACTAGTGGCTTGAATTCAAAAAGTTTGCAACCCTGACTACCCATGACTATCCTGGAGAGAGAACGAGAGGTTGCAGCAGGGGGAAATAACCCTGCATCAGTTACGTATCCTCAGAGAGTCTGATTTAACTGATCTAGGTCCCATAAGGCAGTTGTGTAGGCTTATGTAGGTTAATGTGTGGTGCCCAGGCATCCTGCAGAATTGGACTTAAATCTTAGCTTTGGTACTCACTGATCTAGGCCTGTGGCTGTTATTTTTAGAAGTTCTACTGGTAATTTTAACTTAAGGCAGGGTTGAGAACTACTGCAGTAAATGATTTGGGTGATAGCTACCATTTATTTGGCATCTAGAACCATTACATCATGGATGTTTTACACACAATATAAATAATCCTCACAGTTGTTCTGGGAGTTAAGTATGTCCCTTTTTACATATGTGAAACCCAAGCCTCAGAAGTGGCTTGCCCAAATTCGCACGGCCTCTAAATGATGTTGCTGACCAAGTAGGCGCCAAGTGTTTTTCTCCGTCTTTCCAAAATGAAGACGGTCATAAGCCCACTGGAAGTAACAAGCTCTGTGAGAGGTAAAGCTCCACACAACTCTTAGTTTCTTTCTTGTTTCTCTGTCAGTAGCCCTCACTTTACCTAACAAGGAGCTGCTTCTGTTACACACTTGACCCTGAATTCCTCTCCACCCACACTTGAGTTTGAGGTGCAGTCAAGTAGCCCAGGCAGAGACTACCCAGATCCTGCAGTCCTGGTAGGGCTTTCTTTCCTTCTTCCATGGCCTTTACCCAGTCATCTTTCCTGTGACCCTGAAGCCCTGCCAGCTTAGCCCTGTGTGGCCCTGGAGCTTTGAAAAGGTCAAATTCTTTCCTACAGGGCAAGCTCTAGGCTATCCTTTGTGATGGTGCATTACAGGACCAGAGAAGCCCTTCCCATTTTCACTGCTATCTGCCTCATCTGTAATCAGGTGTAAAGCTTGAGGAAGAACGTAGGAGAGAAATTGAGGACAGAGTATACAGAGAGGGAAAAGTCTATTCAAAAATGAGAGCCTTAAAAAAAAAAATGAAACCCGTGGGACACCTGGGTGGCTCAATCATAGTTATGCATCTGCCTTCAGCTCAGGTCATGATCCCAGGGTCCTGGGATAGAGCCCTCATTGGGCTTCCTGCTTCTCCCTCTCCCTTTGCCCCTCCCCGCTGCTTGTGCTTGATCTCTCTCTCTCTTTTGCTCTCCCTCAAATAAATTTAAAAAAAAAAAAGAAAAAAAAGTAAGAGCCTTACGAGATTAAAAACCTTTGAGGTGCTTTCCTCTTCTGGAGTCCTATTCTGAGCATTCTCAAGACATCAGAAAAAGAATAGATTTCATTCTGAGAGAAACGGGCTCAGAAGGCCCTGGTTGAAGGGTCTGGTTTGGGAGCCACTCTGTCTTTGCATCTGCACCCCAGAAGGATCGGTCTAGGTAGGTTTGGATCAAGTACAGAAGGAAGAGGAGTGATGCCTGGGTGGCTCAGTCGGTTAAGCGTCTGCCTTCGGCTTAGGTCATGATCCCAGACTCCTGGGATCAAGCCTCATGTCAGGCCCCCTGCTCAGTGGGGAGCCTGCTTCTCCCTCTACCTGCCAATTCCCCTGCTTGTTCTCTCTCTCTCTCTCTCAAATAAATAAATAAGTAAAATCTTTAAAAAAAAAAAAAAAAGGAGGAGGAGGGGGAGGAAGAGGAGGAGGGGGAGGAAGAGGAGGAGAAGAGGAAAGGGGCCACCTTCCAGGGCTGAAGTCCTTCCA